GCCTGTATGACCCTAATTACACACTGTGAGCAAGCCCCCTTGGCTAAAATTGACCGTTCAAGAGCCAGACGGCTAGTTGTAGCCATTGTGGCTCTGGGTGGGAGATCTCCCCCTGCTTGAGGGAGATCATCTCCGGAGGAATCCGCCATGGATTCGTGCGGGAGAGACTCCTCAAGTCTGCGAACCAAGGTCTCCTTGGCCAATAAGGGGCCACAAGGATTACCTCGGCCCTTTCCCGCAGAAACTTGCGTACTACCGCCGGAAGGAGAGGTAAGGGTGGAAACGCGTACAGGAGCCCCCTTGGCCATGGGCTCCGTAACGCGTCCGTCTGCTCTGCTCCCTTGGATGGGAATAGGGAGAAGAAGCGAGTTAGGTGGGCATTGGAAGGAGAGGCAAAAAGGTCCACCTGGGGAAGCCCGAAGCGGTGACAGACCTCCCTGAAGATCCTCGGGTGTAGTTGCCACTCCGAGTGATCTATTGTTGATCTGCTCAACAGATCTGCTTGGTTGTTTGCCTCCCCCGATATGTGGTCGGCCTTTATGGAGGCCAGATTTTGTTCCGCCCAGGCCCCCAGTAGGAGGGCCTCGGCCGAGAGCGAGCGAGAGTGTGTGCCCCCCTGACGGTTTATGTGGGCCTTGGCTGTCACGTTGTCCGTCAGGACCAGTACGTGCCTGCCTTTTATGCTGCTGTGAAAATGCCTTAACGCTAGGTGACTAGCCCGCAGCTCGAGCCAGTTTATGTTGTGTCGGAGATCCACCGCTGACCAGCGGCCCTGTGTCCACTTGGTCCCCAAGTGGCCTCCCCAGCCGAATAAGCTCGCATCTGTTGTGACTACTACTCTGTCTGGTTCCCTGAAGGGGGACCCCCTGAGGAGAGATGGAGATAGCCACCACCTGAGGGAGTGTCGTACTCTCAGAGGTATGCCTACCCTCTTCCGGGATGCACTGATTTGTTGTCTCTGAAACGGGAGCATGAACCATGGCAGTTCTCTTGAGTGCAGCCTTGCCCAAGGAACTATTGCTATGGTCGATATCATCTTCCCTAGCAGCTGGGAGAGGCAGACCAGCGTCACTGACTGACCGCGGCTTACCTGTTTTACAGCTTTCTTTATGCTGCTGAGGCGTTCCTGTGATAGGTACACCTTGCATTCCTTTGTGTCTATGACCGCTCCCAGGTGGAGTATTCTCGTAGTTGGGGTTATATGGCTCTTTGGAAAGTTCACCGAGAAGCCGTGGTCCTGCAGCATTTTTATCACTAACTTTAGGTCCGCCCGAGACTGCTGGGCGGACGATGACTGGATTAGAATATCGTCCAGGTAGCACTGGACTCTGACTGGTAAGTTTCTTAGTTGTGCTGCCAGAACCGCCAGAATCTTGGTGAACACCCTGGGCGCTGATGACAGGCCGAATGGAAGTGCCCTGTATTGAAAATGGTGCCCCCTGTAGGCAAACTGTAGAAAGCGGCGGTGAGCCAGAGAGATAGGGATGTGCAAGTATGCCTCCGTGAGGTCGATCGATGCCAGAAAATCCCCTTTCCTTACGCTTCCAAGGATGGAGCGTAGTGTCTGCATTTTGAATTTGCGGTATTTTATGTAGAAATTTAGCCTTTTCAAATCCAAAACGGCTCTCCAACCCCCCGAGGGTTTTGGGACCACGAAGAGGATAGAATAAAACCCCTGGTCTCTCTGGTTCATAGGCACCGGCTCTACGGCCCGTATGTTTAGAAGGTGCTGAACGGCCTCGTTCATGAGCCTTCTCTTTGTTGGGTTTGTGGGACAGGGGCACGGGCGGAAGCGGTTCGGGGGCTTTGAGAGAAATTCTAGAGATAGACCATGACGTATGGTGTTCCTGACCCATACGTCCGTGGTGGTCTCTTCCCACTGGGGAGCAAACCCTGCTAGTCTGCCCCCTATGGGAAGGTCTGGGCGGGAGTCATCTGGTACGGCGGAAGGGGCGGTTGTTCCCCCGAAAGGGCCGTCTTCCCTGTGTTTGCCTATGTCTTGTGTTCTGTCTGTCCCCCTGTCTTTCCCTATCCTGTCTAGCTTGGAAGGGTTGGGAATTTTGAAAGTAGTTGACCCTGGCTTCCGTACGAAAGGATTGTTTCCTTCCCCAGGAGCCGGGTCTCTTGTCCTGCCTTTTAAGCATGTGTTTAAGGACCTTGCGCTTGTCCTTGTTCTCTGTCAGGTATGGCGTTAGTGCCTCACCAAACAGCTTTGCCCCTTGGTACGGAGCCGAAGCCAATTTCCACTTGGATTTGGTATCCGCCTGCCAGTTCTTTAGCCAGAGGATGCGCCTGCTCGTGTTGTTTGCCACCATTGCCTTGGCTGAAAACTTGGTCGCTAAAAGTGTTGCGTCCAACGCATATTCCGTGGCCGCTACCATTTTGCTGAGTTCCTGATGAGTGCGTATATCTTCCATGGGAACCCGGCCCTGTAGCTCACGGAGTCAACAAAGTGTGGCTCTGGTGAAAAAGGACGCGGAGGTAGACGCCCTGGTAGCCCAAGCTATTGCCTGGTGCGTTCTCCTGTAGTTGGACTCACTCTTTCGGTCCTCGGCTTTAAGAGCTTCAGCAAAATCTCCTGATATGGCCGTGTCCGATATGGGTTCGTCCACCACCGGCACCTCCAATGTTCCCTCTAGCTCCCTTGCTACGTTAAATAGCTTCCTCTCCGCATTGCTAGGAAGCGGTAGGGAGGTTGGCGCTGCCCACTGTTTCCTTATTGTGTTTAGGAACATGGTCGGGCATGGTATGCGGTGTTGAGTGGTTACCTTTTCGGCGAACGTCGGCTCAGCCTCCGTGTCAACTGTGACAGGCTCCGCTGGTGTCCCATGCCCCAGATGGGCTGTGGCCTCAGCCTTGCGCAGAATAGTAACAAAAAGAGAAGGGTTAAACAGGCCGCTGAAGGACGGCCCTTGAGGTGAGGTGTCCTCCTCCTCCTCAGACATTTGAATCCCTTGTGACGTACCTGGCTGGTCCAGGTAAGCTTCCTCAGAGACCGACGAGTCTGAGACGGAGGAGAGGTCCTGATGGTCCTCCGTTTCCTCCCGATGCCTCGTTCTAAGTCCTAGAGACTTGGCTTTTGAAGTTTGAGCCCTGGCCTCAAATGCACGGTCCACTGCCTGTGCTATTAGGGTAGCTAGCAGATCCCCCGTCAATGCAGGAGGAGTGACCATTGCCTGCGACCCTGCAGGTGCTGTGGTTAGCATGGTCCTCTGGGTTTCCTGTAACCTCCGTGGGGAGGGGGATCGGGAGAGCGATGAGAAGTCGCCTATCCCACCCTCTGTTTGGGACTGTGATGAGCTCCCTAATGACCAAATGGCCCGTGGGGATGAAGGGAGACCCAGCGGTAGATCAGGACCTATTCCCCCATTCTGCCTATTTTCAATTCTGGCCCTTTTCTGGGCTCTGTCGAACTCTTTTCTAGGGCTTGGTGTCTTCTGATTGCCTGTTTGTCAGCCTTCTTTGATGACTTCCTTGCAGCCTTTCTAGGGGCTGCAGAGGATTCCGAATCCTCTGAAGCAGGTGCTCCAGAGGATGAAGGCGGGGCTCCAGTGGAGGGAATGATTGCTTCCTCCATTCTCCACTAACGCTGGGCCGCGATAGGGGGGACCCAGGTAGTAGGAGAGCTCCAACTTTGAGTAAGGACAGGCGCACTACTGGGGGCGTCTGGAACTCAGGAGCAGACTCTGCAAAATTGTCAGAGTTAGTCACTGTGCACGGATAAGAACAGGCACGCTAATGGGAATGCCTGGAACCCGGCTTGACTATGGTGGGTAAGGACAGGCACGCGACTGGGGATGCCTGGAACCCACCACTAAATCCAGAGGCGTCCGGGCCACTAATGGGGGACCCGAAGTCTGGAAGGAGCCAAAGGCAACTAAACACAGTTAGTTATGAAAGGTTCTTATTTACTTTAGGTAGAAGACACCAAGTCCTGGAACCAGTAGCTATGTGTCTGATTTGAATGTCTCTGAATGAATAATAGATGCTTTAGTACCCCAGTACTGCTTGCCTATTAATTCACTCCAGCGGCTGAACCTAGCTTTCTTAAGGAACTTTAACTCCCCTGTTTGGACAAAAAATATGGCCGCCGCTGCCAGGAAACTACTGCGCATGTGTTAACAAGGCTGCCTATGCCACGTGCGGTTGTAACAAAGAGCTGCGCGTGCTTCCAGCTGTGCAGACAATGGCGCCTCGTTTAAAAAATCCTGAGCCGCCTGGAGTGAAAAGACTGCTCCTTCGCACGCCAGCTGTTTCCCTTAATCAATCTCCCTCCCAGCATGCGTCCCCTTTGTCCTCCGCTTCCATCACTAACTGCTTGCCTTTCTGTCTTTTTTTTGTTGTTGTTTGTTTTAAACGCGAGGGGTTGCCCGAGCCTCCCCGTTTGTTTAAGGCGGCTGCCGGCTGCTGGAAGGTGGCTGGGGTTGGTTAGGGAGGGGAGTTAGGGATTTCCCCCTTTTAAGTGGGGGTGGTTTCCCCTGTAGGAATCTGACTTCCTGAGTTTTACAATTTAGCAAGGAAATTTTTTGAGTGGTCAATTAAATTGAATTAAATTATCTCTAATTAACTTTTAAACTAAGCAATTTCAGCTACTAGAAAAAATCCCCCCTAATGGAAAGGAACTATACCTGCCCAGGAGCCAAAAGTTGTAGATGTCTCGCATGGCCAGATCAGTCAAGACTAAAGGATCATGGTCCATGACGGGGCGTGGCAACTTTGGCTGACTGATCTGATTGGCCAGGAATACAGTCTCAACCCACTGCGTGGATTATCCATCTCCAGTGCTGGAGAAAAGTGGTAGCGGAGGAGGGGAATGAGAGCGCCGCCGGATGGGCAGACAGGTGTCTTGCTCAGCTGTGGCTTGGGGTGCACTTTTTTCAGTGCCATTGTAACTTCAAACAGTCACTAATCGAACTGTTGTAAGTTGAGGACTACCTATACTTTATCACTTTTTTCCTTTTTTATTTTTTGGTCAAGTTTTTGACACCTTGCTAGGCGACTGGTGGTACGCGGATATTGCCATATCCTAAAAGTGGTACAATGAGTGAAAAGGTTGAAAAGCCCTGCTCTAGCTTACTGTTGTGAAAATGAAAGGAATTCTTATATTCATACAACTGAAAGCTGGAGTCAAATATACTGACCTGAGATTCATGAAATATTTAAAAACCCTAGCAAGGTTGTGAAGAGATCTTATCATTTTCATTTATTTTGGTACAATGTCTATTCTTAGCATTATGTAAGTCTGAAATAAGTCTAGAGAAAATCAAGGCAAATTACTCTGTAAGATGGAAGTGACAGAATAGATTTAGTACCAGTAATTTCCTGTCCTTAAGAGATATGCACAAACAATACATCACACTTATATTTTTCAACAGAAAAAGTGGGTGTTTTTTTCTAATATTACAGTCTACTTTAGATATTTGTTATATATTATGGTTAGAAAGGAAGTTTAACAAATTAGGACTTATCCCCTTTTGAACATATGACTCATGTGCTTTCTACAGACTCTTCCAAAACTCTTGGAACTATGTCAGTAAGGCAAATAATGAGAGATGACAAGCCAATAAGACTAAAATGACTGTACTAGTATATGTTATGTCATCTGCTCCCTGTCAATGACCAACAGGATCAGTCACAATGTTTCTTATTTTAATAAAAAAGCTTGGCAAACTCTCAACTATATAATAATTAAATATCTAATTGGAACAAGTAAGTATCAAGATTTTTTTGATGGGAACATATATGTTAGGTAATAAATAAGAAAGCATAAAATCAAAGAAATGAGATAACTTCTTATTAAGCTCAGATAAATTACTGGGTTTTTCTAGTAAAATCTATTTAAAAACCGAGTAAAGAATTTTAAGCAATTGTGGCTTGCTGTGATATGCAGATTTTTAATTATTTGAAAAGGACTCCAAATTTTCAATTTTGGAACATAATTATGCCAAGAAAGAATTGACTGCAAAAACACATTATTTAGATAATGTTCGCTTAGCATATAGGATGCAGTATATGTTTCTGTTGATTACTGATCAGTTTTATATGTGGGAACAAAAATCACATTTCAAATAATTAGCAGTTATGCCGATCCAATATTGGAATCTTTTTATCCAATAGATTTAATACTTGCATAGTTGCTCTTTCCTAGAACAGCTGTTTCTTACTTTGTGAAGCTGTGGTTATAAATAGGAAACAATTGTACTAGTGTTTCACCACTTTTTCATATTGTGTTCTCCAATGTATTAGAAAAATATAACACACTTTTTATTATTCCAGGACTGACAGATCTATAATTTGGCCAGGGAAGTACGCATAGATGCAGGGTACACCTCCGATTACTTTTTTGCCACATCCTCACTTCTTGCATACATAGACAAGGAAATAGGTTGTCAACCCTACCAACAATAAATGGCAGAAAAAAAGGAGCTGATAGTAATTTGTTGTACCTCATCTCAGAATATTTTGAGCTATTAAACTAAGATTTAAATTAGAACAATGGCGCTTCAATATTCTACTGTAATTGAAAAAATTTTCTTTATTAAAAAGGCAGTTTTATGAAGCTCAAATTTCACAAGAATTAGAACAGAAATTAGTATTTTAATTCATGTGTAGATTGTGACCACAATCTCTTCTAAGATTATCAATCCTACCAGACTTTAATAACATTAATAGTAGTAATAACACTAATAAATATAAAGCATGGTGTCAGTTTCTAGGATTAAGTGTACCTAGAGGAATGGCTTGGGATTGGAATCCAATGATCTGTTTAGAAATCCCCCAACTTTTCAGTCATAAGATAGTCTTTGATAAGGCAACTGTGGCAAGAATTGCTAGATTTTCTCTCTGTTTTGTTTTCTAATTGGTCACCCAGGGACATTTTGTAGAAACATTAATAATGTGCTCACTAACCCAAAATATTTGAGACTGTAACACCCTCAACTGAAGGGGGAATATGATTTGATAAACTTTTAGTTTATATTATGTATGGTCAATTTCCTATTTTTAGCTTTGAAAGGATAACTGCGTCTTCTTTGATAAGGCCTGAAATGACTACATGCCATGAAGTAGTGTAATAAATATAATAAGGAGGATTGCTGACAATAGCATGATTTCAAAATCAGGGGCACTCATGGGCAATTATGAAGTGAATGCATATAAGGAAAAAAGTTGTTTTAAAAAATAGATAATCATTTTCCTGAATAAAGCAAATTGGGTTCTACTGAGTATTTACTTATTGCAATTACCTATTAATGCTGTGCTTAGCACAAATATTATAATTTCAACAATGAAAATTCAGATACCACATGTTAGCATCTGATGTGCTAATGTTCTCTATATGAATGGGATTATAACTATCATAATTCCCAGCTCGCATGCTGTACTAGATGATGACAGCTATAATCTAAAATACCAGATTGTGTAAGATTCAATTAATCCATGGTTTCTAAAGCTAATATTCAAATCCAAGTTCAAGAAAACTAGCCTATTTTTTAAAAAAAAATCACTACTTTTTCTTTTGCCATCAGGTGACATGAAAAGCAAAATATGTTACAGCACAAAGGCAGATATAAACTTACAATTACTAGAATTGAAAATGCATATATACAATAAATAATCTAGTATGACAACTTAAAATGCCCCTGTCAATAAGTTTTACATGTTGCTGAACTGAAAAATGAAACAAAATGTAGTTTAAACTTGGCACAGAAACGAAGAGGCCGTTCTACAGATGTTGCACTACCATAGATAAGCTGATCTGACTAGTTCATATAATTAAATTTAGTCAGGTTAAGGAACAAAAGGATGATCTTTCTCTGGAGAGCTTAAGTTATGGGGAAACCGTCCTTCAGGTTCCTCAAACCATAACAAAGAAGTAACAGAACATCAAATAGGAACCAGAAGGAAATTCCTATAACTTTGTCTATAAATATGTCTGTAATGGATTATCTAAGTCAATATTTCTTCTTTTTTTTTTGACATAGTGGGCATGCAATCAGTCAAATTAATTTGAGCTGTTCTATGATACGGTGACCCAGTTCACACTTTAATTCAGTGAGTTGAATTAAAGCTTTCTATTGATTCAAGATTTGATACAAAAGGCATGGTTGAACATAGAAAACTGATACTTACCTATAGTATCGTGACTGCAAATAGGTGGAGCACACAGCTTTTGAGACATGACTAGCAGAGCCAAAGTCTATGACCTTGACCCTATATGGCTGGCGCACAGGATCCACCAACATGATATTTTCAGGCTTTAGGTCAGCATGTATTAGACCTAAGCTTTTCAGTTTCATCAAAGCAGTGGCCACTTGTTGCAATATTGGTCGAATGTATTTCAGAGGCAGAGGGCTAAACTTATTTTGTTTTAAGAAGTCATACAAATTTTGCTCCAGCATCTCAAACACCAGGCATGTGTGGTTTTTGTGTTGAAAACACTCATATGAACGGACAAAGTTATATTCATCAGCATTCTCACTACTCAGTCGAGAAAGGATGCTTACTTCAATTTGACCTTGCCTGGCATAAGAAGGGTGATTTTTCAAAATTTTGATAGCAACAATTTCCTTTGTGCTGCGCTTCCAGCATTTTGCCACCTGTCCAAAAGTTCCTCGGCCCAAGAACTCCAAGACTTCATAGCTATTTGTCATAGAACAAAGAATTTCATGCTGGACTAGCTGGTAATCACCTTCGCCACTGGAACTACTGCTTTTGGTTGTTACAGTGGTGGTAGTGGCCGCAGCACCCACCGTAGGTCTGTTTTGCAGCATGAGAGGTGGATGTTCCTCAATTATTTGCACGCTACCGTTGCTGTCAACTTCTTCACTTTTCCTTTTTAAGCCACATTTTTGATACGGTTCCAGTAAAGCAATGTTAGCCCTGTGTGTTAGGGCTTGGCTGTTTTGAAAGGATGTTGTTCCGCCACTGCCTGTACTGTCTGCTGCTGTAACCACAATGTGCTCAACTGAAGGAGCAGGGAGGAGGAGGTTCTGATCATAAGCAGGGATACTGAAGTTTGCTACCTGGTGAGAAGAGCTTGCTGGCCCTTGAGCACCAGAGAGATTTTTGCTGTGACTGTAATACTCGTCACTGTTACTCTGTCCTGAAGCATCCCAGCTAGAGGGCTCCACTTTCAGTTTCTTGGCACTGCAAAAGGCACTCGAAGATACTGATGGAGGTGAAAACACCTGCAGCTGTGAGGCCATACCTAGAGGAAACAAAGAACTAGACGTCACATTGGCAGAAATAGAAATCACATATCTTTTACCACTGAATAAGAATAGCCAACTCATCATTCATTTCCCCCAAATTTGCTATTAGCAATTATAATTATATCCCATTTCTCTAGATATATATCCTACAAAACCTGATTAGAAGTAATAGCAGGAAAAGAAGCTATACTTATTATTCTGGAATCATTCCACCAGAGCAATTAGTTGCAACAGCTAGCTCTATGCAGAGAGGGAAATCCAGTTGAATTGGAATATTCATTCACCTTCTTCGGAAGGTTAGAAAAGTCCAAGTCAATGTGTGTATGTATGTGTGTGTGTGTGTGTGTGTGTGTGTGTGTGTGTGTGTGTGTGTGTATATATATATATATATATATATATATATATATATATATATATATATATATATTTTCTGAGGTTTTCGCGGGTGTTTGTATATAGGTCTTTGGTTGTTCGGGTTTTCTCCCGCGTAAAATTGGAAGTGTCTTGGCGACACTTTCCCATGTGGTTTGTGATCCGAATCGGATCACAAACCCAAACTCTGGCTCAGATACGTAGACGACACCTTCATAATCTGGCCGCATGGGAAAGAAAAACTGGACAACTTCCTCACACACCTCAACACCTACACCCCAAAATACAGTTCACCATGGAAACAGAAGCTAACAACCAACTTCCTTTCCTGAATGTCTTAGTCTACAAGAAATCCAATGGCTCCCTAGGACACACCACCTACCAGAAGAAAACACACACAAACCGCTATCTGCATGCTCTCTCACACCACCACCCAGCACAGATCAACTCCATAGCCAAGACACTCATTTCCAGAACAAAATGCTTAGCTGACGAACAACACCTAAAAACCGAACTACACACTCTCACCAATGTACTAACACCCAATGGATTCCAAAGAAATAAGATTACAAACCTAATCCAAAAAGAAACCCCCACTAAAATCCAAGACAAAGAACAAGAAAACGGCAAAGCCCTCCTCCCATACATAAAAGGCACCACAGACAGAATCAGTAAGATCCTCCATAAACACAACATCAAAACAGCATTCTGCACAAACAGAAAAATATCCACCATCCTTAGAAACCCCAAAGATAAAATTGAGTTAGAAAATCAAGGAGTATATGAAATCCCATGCACCACTTGTCCCACACATACATCGGACAAACCAACAGAAGAATAAGTGCACGCATTGAAGAACATAAGAACTCAGTCAAAAAAGAGGAACCAACATCTTCCCTGGTCCAACACCTTAAAGCCACAGGACATGAAATTGACTTTAAAAATACCAGAACCATTGCCAAAAGTGAACATTTTAATAACAGAATAATCAGAGAAGCCATCGAGATAGAAAAAACGCCCACACAGCATGAACAAGCGAGATGATACCTCCCGCCTACCAGCCATTTGGAAACCCGCCCTTATTGACAAACGACTCCCTAACACAAAAAATGACACCAGACCCACACTCACAAAAACCACACAGGATGTCACCACCACACATCCACGCAAAAAGCAAACCCAAAGCCACACCGATGATGAGGCACGACCACAAACCAGAAGCCAGACCACAGCTGCATCATTAGCCACTTTAAACCCCTCCAATCCATACATGAAGCAAACTGACACCCTCCATGAAGATGAGGCACGACCACGAACGCGAAGCCAAAAAATAGCAAGGCAGCCCACCATCTTAAACCCCCCTGCAACTCAGACTAACCTGAGCACAACAAAGCCCCCACCCAAACAGAACACTTCCCCAGCCAATCAGAGCACAGCCAACCCCCCAGCCAATCAGAGCACAGCCAAGCCCCTAACCAATCAGAACACACCTCCACCCAATCAGAACACAGCCAAGCTCCCACCCAATCAGTTCATACCCCCACTGGCAGTTAAAAGGAAGAAACAGCTAAGACCACACATTGCTGCCCGAAGCACGAAGCTGAAAACACCAGCCTGAAGATGACAAATGGGACTTCATCGAAATGTCGCCAAGACACTTCCAATTTTACGCGGGACAAAACCCGAACAACCAAAGACCTACATACAAACACCCGCGAAAACTTCAGAAAACATATATATATTTGTGTCTTCAAGTCTTGCAGTGAGATGGGAGGCAAACAAATTTAATAAATAGACAGGTAAAGTCAATCTTGATTCCTGACCATTACATGGACAAATCCGCAAAGCTTTCTTTTCTGAAGGGGTTTGCCATTGCTTTCTTTCTACTTGCTGAGACAATCATCCAGATGAATTTGTGCCTAGAGCAGAACTAGAACTCAGTTTCTACTTTCTAGCCAGATGTTTTTAAACACTACACCAAATAAGCTCTTAATCAAAGTTTATCTTGGTTATATTAACTAAATAACTAGTCTGCTGCTTGCACAAGTTGAGCTATGCATGCATGCGCATGCACACGCTCTAGCCAGCCACTCATGTGGCCCAATTCCAAATCGGCCCCAACCTGGGGATGGGGACCTCAAAACTTCATTTTGTTTACTATTTAAATTAGCCTTTAATTGGGCCTTTAAATTAACCTTTAATGGTTAAAAAGTATCTTTTAATTATTTGGCTTTCCCCAACTATATAAGGTGAGATTATTTAAGAGCTACCCGATTTTTTAAAAAAAAATCAATTTATGAAAACTTTTTTAAATTTTGAAGATACAACACATGTCCACAACTATATAATCTATGCTTTATGCAAGATATTTGTACAAATATTCCATAGTCAATTCATAAATGCATTTTTATTTGCAATAAATAAATATTTGCAATAAATAAATAATAAAATCTCATTCTGTAACTAACTTCCCTATTTAAACAAAGAAATTACCTCACAATGCTGTTGATGCTACCTGTACCAGTTAATACTATTTTTTCTATCTTGCAATGTTATTAAACTCTTTAAAATGCTGCCTATGGTGCAAACACTTTCTTATGCCATCCGTACAGACCAATAGAAATATATCCAGTAAAAAAATGGGAGCGGATAAATAGCTAAAGTTGGTCCTCAACTTACGACCAAAATTGAGCCCAAAATTACTGTGACTAAGCGAGACATTTATTAATTGAGTTTTGCCCCTTTTATGACCTTTCTTACCATTATTGTTAAGTGGGTTACTGCAGTTGTTAAGTTAGTAAGTTAAGTGAATCTGGCTTCCCCATTGATTTTGCTTGTCAGAAGGTCACAAAAGATGATCACATGACCCCAGGATATTGCAAGAGTCATAAATAGGAGTTGATTGCCAAGAGTCTGAATTTTGATCATGTGGCCAAGGGGAAGCTACAAGGTTGTAAATGTCATAAGTCACTTTCTTTAGTGCTTGTAACTTCAATCACTAAATGAAGTTGTAATTCAAGCACTAACATATTAGAAGATAGTTCTGAAAAAAATGTGCGTTTAACTCATGTTAACTATCTCAAATGCAGTTTCAATGTTGAGTCACCTCTAGATTGCATTAAATTTGCATGTTAACTGCCATAACATAAAATTAAAACATTCCTTAGTAACCTTCCAGTATTTTTAAATACTAGAATCCTATTTTAACTACTAACTATAACAGGGGTGTCAAACTCACAACGTCATGTGATGTGTCGTGACATATTGCGACTTTTTTTTCCATTGCTGGCAATGGGGTGGGCGCAGTTTCCGCATGATGCAGCTGGCCCATGGGCCAGCAATTTCACACCCCTGAACTATAGCAATGTATTATACAACAAAACTTTCCCAACTCTAGGGGCAGAGGAAGAGTCAACTTCCTACATGTTAGTGATCCACTGTTCTATCAGCTATTCTAATAATACTCCTACAAAATGTTAACTCTTTTTTCACTCTTTTAATATCAGATCTAACAGAGGCTTAAACTTTAAGACAAGTGTTTTGCCAAGTAAACTATATTCCAATTCGGACAACATAAATATGTTTGGATTTTTAGGAGCTAAGCTATTAATCTATTTGTTCAAGCTACTACAAAGTTTGAACTTCTCCCCTGTAACTACTGTCTTTTAATAATGAACATAAATGCAAGCTTCTTGTATATAATACAATATAAATTAGCCTATACTGCCCTTTTTTATATACTAAGCAATAATCAGATGCCAGTTACCAGTGTCATCTTCTCATGCAAAGGAAAAGCAGCTGCATCATATACATATTTTTCTAGAATATTGCCAGAGAAGAGCTAACATCCATTCCAAAAGTTTTATAGCATATTGGCTCAATGAATAAAAAACAGTAGCAAGAAAATCAAATCTGGCTCCAAGAAACAAATCTCAGGTTTTTATTCCCAAACATCTGCCCAAGGAAATCTGCTGTACTAAAGGCATTGTATCAAGTTTCAAAGAACAACCATAACACATGTTTCAGTAGAGTACTTTTATCAGTATCCAGGAAACTGTCTTAAAACCCTCTCCAGCTTGCATATAAGCTAAATCTAATGCCACATCAGCATCAATTGTGTTATAAAATTGGTCTAAATCAGTGGTTCTCAACCTTTTTAATGCCGCGACCCCCAACCGGTCGTAAGTCGAGGACTACTCAACCGGTCGTAAGTCGAGGACTACTCAACTGGTGCAGCACCGTTTGCAGAATGGTACTTTTGGCGGGCTCAGCAGGGCAGAGACAGCCTGGACAATTCCTATTGGCTTTTGAAAGCCAATAGAATTAGACTCTATTCAAGAGAGTCTATTCTATTGGCTTTCAAAATCCAATAGAATAAAAGGGAGTAGCACAGCTAAGGAAAAGGGGGAAAAAATGGCGGACTGCGTTGTTTGGCGACCCCCGTGAAATGGTTGTTCGACCCCAAATGGGGTCCCAACCCACAGGTTGAGAACCACTGGTCTAAATGCAAACTGTTATCAGGATAAAACACTATTTTGCTGCTATTTACTATCACTTCTCAATAATTTAAAACATGAAAATTCATAGCATGGATTTAATTCTAAAGAATTATACTAAAGGTATAATCTCAACAGAAGGAATAGGGACCTATATCTAGTTTTCAGTCAGTGTTGCATAATGGTTAATTTTTAAAGTATTTACTCAATTCAAATTGAGGCACTTTTTTACAAGGTTTGAAATTCGTTAGTAGTAGTCTCTCGGCACCAAATCTGGGCTATAGGGGGTAGTGATCAAAAACATCCCAATGGAACTGCTTCAAAAGTTTTTGGGTGCATCTAACGGTGTGCAAGCGACCATTATCTTGAACCACCACCATATTGGAAGTCAGCATGAACTTCACTAGCAGTACTCCTTTGGCATCTTCATATTTGGCAGATTTTTCTATGGCACCACTTCCGGTGTGGTGTTGGTTCACGATAATGCTCGCCCACACACCACTAGACAAGACACACCAAGAACTTTTGAAGCAGTTCCGTTAGGATGTTTTTGATCACCCCACCATAGCACAGATTTGACAGTGAGCGACTACTACTAAGGAATTTCAAATTTGGCTAGCGCCGCGACCCGCTTTCCTCCCCCCTCCCGCCATCCTTTAGTCCTCCTCATATACTGCAAAGCTTCACAAATGCACCCCCAAGTTTATTATTGGATGTTACCCAGCTACATTTGTCTTCAGCAGATCAGGAACAAGGAATGAAATATAATGAAATGCTAACATACCATGTTTCCTCAAAAATAAGACCCGGTCTTACATTTTTTTTGCTTCCAAAAGAGGCACCAGGTCTTATTTTGGGGAGATGTCTTACCTTAGGACAACCGCAGCCAGGCCTCCCATGCCCCGACATCTGCCTAGCCTCGCTTCGCCCGCCCTCTTGTGGCGGCGCCTGGCTTCCGTTTCATCATCAGAGGCCTTCAGGGGGTCACCATGCACGTCAATCTGGATGCCATTTCTCTACTGCAGACACCTTTCCGGAAGGCCTCCAAAGGCAAAACAGAAGCCGGGGATGACACGCATGATGAGCAGCAAGTGACTGCAAAAGAAGAGGGCTGGCGAGGCAGGGTAGATGTCGCAGCATGGAAGACTGGCTGCAACGGTCCTAAGGTAAGCATGTGTGGGGCGTGTGGGACAGCTCCATCCCATTCCCACCCTAGCTTGATTTTAACCTGTGCGCCTCACTCCACCTCGTGCAACCAGGTGCAATGGAGTGGGCAGGATCTTAAGTAGGGTTTATTTTTGGAGTAGGGCTTATATTGGACAATGTGTAAAAATCAAGCTAGGTCTTATTTTCAGGCTAGGTCTTATTTTGGGGGGACCATGGTTTATATCTACCCCATCAAACCCAACATGCCTTTGAATGTAAGTTTGAACTACATGCTGGCACAGTTACATCTTGCTTATTTTCTAAGAAAGGTCTACTACAGAACATTGTATCTATTTGCTTAATGCATATCCCACCATTCACTCAGGTACTCATGCAGGTAAACATAGTATTTCCTCCATTTTTTCACAACAAATCTGTGAGGTAGACTGGGCTTAGAATGACTCACTTAAAGTCACCTAATAAGCTTCAATGGTTGAAGGTGGACTTGAAAATATGTCTCTTCAGTGTCATCCCAGTAACTTAAGTTCTATACCATATATATTTTACTAATCAGCATTTTAGACTCATATCAGCTACTCACAATGAGTCACCCAGTTGACTGAATTAGCTGGATTGCTTGAGATCATACAATCTTCTGTACCATAACCACAATGTTCAAACAACACACAATCAATAACTAGCCAGCCACATTTTAGCTTAGCATCTTACATTCATATGTAGAAACTTAACCCTAGCAACTTAAGTGAAAAGTTTTAAACCATTACTATTTTCATATCAAATTAACTGAGGAATGCCTTAAGGTGAGTTACTTATACAGCACCTTACAGATCTAAATCTAAAATCTCTAGCTACTTCTTACTCTGAAAGAGCATTTCTAGGTACAATCACTGTGGGAAACTGACGAAAGATTATAATTGCAACAATAGAATGCCACAAGATTACTGAGAAATCCATCAACTATTCTAAAGTTATTGTGCTATGAGAAAAAAAAATCAACTGATTTTCCATGGGTCTGTTTGTGTGTGTTTAAATGTTTTCTGGGAAAATATGTCGTGTTTCTCTGCAAGAAGCGCTCCCGCTAATTGCTAATTCGGTATAATTTTTGTAAGCTTCAACTGTATTTCAGCTTAACAAAATTGCCTAATGCGCACAACACAAGAACGTTTTCGGAATGTTTGACGCAATTTACATGCTTGAGGAATCCGCTCAAGCGATTTAAGCAGGAGAGAACAAACAACTTTGAAGAATGGAAAAATCCAGTTTCTTTATTTATGTTTAAGTCGCTGGGAACCAGGGAAAAAAGGCCGATTACACCATATTAGGGAAAAAACAAAAAAACTGATCGTCTACCGACGATAACTCTTCCATGGGGTCTCCCCTAGACCCACCACAATTTACTCACTTCTGGCAACGATTTTCGCTCGTCGTCTTTCCTAGCAGGCCTCAGCAGTCGCCCAGAGATATGGCGGTCACTGACCTATCAGTCAAGGCTAAATCGCGTCCCCAGCGGCCTGTCCCATTCGACCCTACCCTCTCACGGCCGCCCCGAGGGAAGGTACTTACTCGCCACCGTTCGGGGTATCTCAACCGCGGGCCGGGCCGGAAGCTGCCTGCCGGTGCCGGGGGACAAGCGGGCGCATCCTAGCCCTGGGCGAGGGGGAGTGCGGCCGCGGCGGCCCTGTCGAGCCGGCCAGCCCACAGGCAACCCCCAAGCCGCTCAGCCTCCGCTTTCGCCAGGCTTGGGCCCCCGTCGCCCGCCAGCAAGCCCAGCCCGGCCCCGGCCCCGCCGCTCTGCTAGATGCCGCGCCCTCAAGGGCCCCTCGGTTCAACCCAGCTGCTCCCGCTCCCTTCCGCGCCCCTCGCCTAAATCAGGCTGAACCTGCCGAATGCGGAACTCAAGCTGCCCCGCACGCTCTGGGCGGCCAGGCAAAGGAAGCCGAGCGCCGAGGAAGAGATGGGGAGGATCATGGGAACCCACGTGACGGAGAGGGAGTTGCTGAACGGCGCTGAGTTTGTGGCGCAAGGAAGCTTGGGTGCATTTTCTCCAGTGTTCACAGGCAGAGTGATAATGCGAATTTCTTTTTGGTTCGCCCGACACGCTATCAAACCGAATATCTGCTCAGTTTTCTTGTGATGGTTTACTGCGAAGTAGCCAAAGTCTCTAAGAGCCGAAGTGGGTTTGGGACAGCAGGCAGAGGCTGATAACGCGAGCGGGAAAGCTCGCCCTAGAACTGATCGCCTGCCGCGCCTTGATAGCCGTCCTGAAAGGATTCGTCGGGTTTCGTAGCTTTCCGCCGTTCTGTCCAGCTTCAGTCCTGGGCCCATTATTCGGATTAAGACCCACCGAAAAGGGCTCAAGTGGCGTCAGGGTTGCCGCCAGACTTGTTTCTTTGTTCAGTAGAAGCTACTTACCTCTGAGGGCATCGCAAATAAACGGTTTTAGTTAATGTTTTCAGAAGCAACGTGGCTCTCGGTTGTATTCAGCGAAGTAAGGAACTGAAACCCTCTGCTTATCTTTGTTTTTCTTAGTGTGACTGTACATTCACTCTACTGTCCTCGACGTATATAGTTTAGTGACGGTTTAAAGTTACAAAGGCACTGAAAGTTACATGACTATTTTTCACACGACAGTTGCAGCACCCCGTCATCATGTGATCAAAATTGGGGCAATTGGCATATATGAAGATTGCAGGATCTTGGGATCATGTGATCATCTTTTGCGACCTTTTGACAAGCCAAGTCAATGGGGAAGCCAAATTCACTTAACAACCTTGTTACTAACTTAACAACCAATGAAGGAGAATATTTGTAGCTCAGGATTGAAATGAGGGGTCCTTGGTGCTCTCTGAGCTTGCTTGTTTTCTTGCAAACGTTTCATTACCCTAACTAGGAAACATCATCAGTGCTAGTAAGGAGTGCTGTTTGCTGTCGGTTTATATTCTTGTATCTTGCCTGTCTGATGGATGGGGGCTGTCTTAGGGTTCTTTGGTTGGGCTGTTTACTAATGGCACTGTGGCAGTTTCTTTATTGGGGTATTGTTTGATTCTTGGTCTGAAGTTGACCTTGAAGTTAATCTGTGCTGATTTAACAACTTCATTGATTCACAGCTGTGGCAAGAATTGTCATAAAATAGTGCAAAACTCAATGTCTTGCTTAACAACAGAAATGTTGGGTTCAGTTGTGGTTGTAAGTCAAGGATTACCTGTATGATGCTCCTTGCTTCTGTATCCAAGTTAAATTTCTGTTTGGGTAATTTAAAAAGACCCTTTCTCCTTGTTTTGATCTGCCAGAAAACGGGCCTTTTTTTCAAAACCTACAGGAAGTTTGGAATTTTAGTCCATGAAGCATTCCGGATTTCTCTGAAAGCAGTGGTATTCCATCTTTCCAGGAATCCTTCAAGTTTTCTCTTCAGTTAAGTTGTTGTCTTTTTTTTATCAATCAAATGCAATCATTCTAGAACTTATGACACCATTTGTTGAGAAAGGAGCTTGTGGTCTGAACTCTTGCAGCATCTTTGTATTTCCACATTTTTCTAAATTACAGCCTTGAAACAAAATATAAGGTAGCAGGGTTCATTTGTAGATAAAGAGCCACTCAGCTTCTATAATCCCTTATCTATGGAAGTCATATTAAAGACTGATCTTAATCTCAGTGTTTTGAAATGAATTATTTCCCATGGTTACAAAACACATACTGAGTCTCACAACATTCTGACCTGTGATTTATGTAACCATTGTTTTCTGAACCCAATTTTGAGTTGTACAGTACTGTACATTTATCACATGAGGTGGGTCTCCACAACATATCTGCAAAAATGTGTACCATGCACAGCCCAAAACACATTTTTGTGTAGTGTAGTGTAATTTTGTCTAGTGGTTAAGGTGCTGAATTAGAAATTGGAAAATTAAGCTCTAGTTCCCTTAACCTCAGAAGTCAGATGGGTGATGGCCATTCAGCCCCATACACATCTCACAGGATTGTTGGGAAAATAGAAAGGGAAAATTATATACAGCACACAATCTGGTACAAAATACTATAAAGGCAGGATATAAATGATATACAAAGGAAGGATTTTGTACTCTCCAAATAACGTGCATTAAATTTACAGAAATCTCAGCAAATGTCCCATCTGCACTTGTTCAGTACAGTCAGTACATATGGGTACAATTGAAGAAGTTTATTTTGATTCAGATGCCACTTGTGCCTTCTTACATATACACACAGACACACACGATATACAGAAAAACTGGTGAACATACTTAGTCCTCTTGCCTCCTATTTTCCCCACAACAACCCTGTGAGGGGCATTGGGCTGAGAGAATGACTGGCCGGATTTGTTTAATGAGCACTTGTTTAATGATTTACTTCAGAGATCTCCAACCTTTCCGGGCTTGCAGACCAGAGGGAAGGAGAGCAGCTTCAAAACTGGTGTATGCATATGGGGCCATACACACTGGCATGGCACTAACTGCTCCGTTTGCGCATGCAGCGTGCTCTGGAGCCATGCACATGTGTGAACGGTCACGCGCTTCCCGTGGCAGCTAGCAGCCCATTCACACATGCACAAATGGGTCACAGACACTCGCCCTGCGATAGCAACTCCATTCACGCCCTCGTGCATGTGCAAATGGGCCCATGGGTGCGAGTGAGGGGAATGCACACCCACATGTGTGCACACCAGCCAGCAATTTCCATGGCCCGCTGGCCAAGAGCCCACGGCCTGGTCCCGGGCCACAGCCCATAGTTTGGGGAACCCAAATTTACTTAAGAATCATGGTAAAAAAAGGTTGTAAAATGGGATGCAACTCTTTTGATGATCACATTACTTAGCAGTGGAAGTTCCAATTCCAGTTTTGGTTCTAATTTAAGGACTAGCTGTAAATAATAACTCCTTGCTGGAATATCTGTTTTTTAAAACAAAGATAATTCAACAAATTCCTGCTAAAACCCTGCAGAGGCATTCATTCGTTCGTTCAATTTCATCTCAGTCAATAACTGTGGGCAGCTTACAATTCAAAAAAATATATTACAATCAAAATACTAAAAATGTTTTAAAATAACTAAAACAATAAAAATATCAAACATAAATATACATAGCTACTGAGATATTCGGCCAGTTAGTGATACAGCCAGGCAGTGTCATTAATCCTGTATTAGAAATACTTAAACATTTTAAATGTTTATAAATACTGTATATCAGAATACAACAAAGGAGAAATTAAGAAACTATAACATTTTTAGTAAATCTTTTTTAAGGTATCGTTAAATAACAAAATATCATTACATGCTTCCTTAATGGACAAACTTTTTAAAGCCTTCATAAAAGAACAACCCTTGCACAATCACTTCCCACAAAAAGTACTATTGGATTTCTTTTTTACTGTATTTTGGATTGCTTTTTATTGTAGTGATTGTCCAGATGGCAGAAATCCATGGATGGCCTTCTACCATCCTTTTGGATGATCCAAATCCTTTTTTTTTTCCAATCCTGTTAGGCAGCAGATAAAAGTTTGTTTCAACAACAGTTAAGCTAAATCTGAACAGGAGAACATTAATTCTGTAGCAATAACAAAAAGTAATGTATCCATCTCCATAATTTTAATTTAAATAATATATATAATTTAATTATATATATATGCATGTATGTATGTATGTATGTATGTATGTTTTCTGAGGTTTTTGCGGGTGTTTGTAGGTCTTTGGTTTTTCGGGTTTTCTCCCACGTAAAATTGGAAGTGTCTTGGCGATGTTTCGACAAAGTCCCATTCGTCATCTTCAGGCTGGTGTTTTCAGCTTCGTACTTTGAGGAGAAATTCCTCACCTTCATTTTCATAACATAGCAAGTTGACTTTACTAATGAATTTCAACTCTTGGGAAGAGAGAGGAATATTTTGCATGTTTGCTGCCTTAATTATAAAATTATATAATTTTTGATATAGAACTACTCAGGTTGACAATCACCATCATAAACTGCATTCGGCAGCACATTTCAATTGGAGGGACTCCTGAAGGAGTCAAAAATTGTACATTACTTAAAACACAGCAATGAGTACTCACTGCATATTTCCATTTAATGAACAATAGCAACACCACCTTTTCTAACAGCAAAGTCTCAACTGCAGTGAAAGAAGAGGGCTGAAGAACATGTCACAGCTACTTGCAGATCAGTACTGCCATCTGTGGATGACTTTTAACATTGGAAGACAATACTTTTCATTGAATCTTACCCACAGCACACAGCTCTTCTTAGAAGAAGAAAAACAGGTTTGCTCTGAGCCAGCACCAAAGAATGCAGAATGTAGGAAGTCACTCGAAGCAGAGAAATTTATTTCACACAGGCAAACCAGCTGTCAAAGTGACCACAAGTCAATTTTCTTCTATAGGAAAGTCCCTCTATTGTTTCTTGAAAGCCTGCAAACAGCCTCAGCCTCTAAGAATTCTTGGAGGGTGCAATTAGCTGGCTGGATAAAAGGGGGTGCTCAGTGGTTATGCACCCTGCTGAGCCTGTGGCCTTTGCATTACCAATCAGGGTGAGGACCTTAGAATGAAGAGCCTTTTGTTTGATAATGAGGAAATCTCCAGTGGGAAGGGGAAGTCTCTGACATCCTGAAGACATTTCCTCTATAGAGAAGACTGGTGCCTTTTGCTAATGTCAAAAACTGAGTCTTGCTAATTTCATCCTTGGAGTTAAATTTGTTTAAATGTAATCTCTAACTTTTTGCCTGGAATTTGGCTGAAAGGTCAGAGAAAGAAAGATGGGGAAATATTGAATGGTGGAAGGTTTGGTTTCCTTTCTGTGCTATGATTAATTGTTGTTGCTTTTTATTTTATTTTCAATTTTCACCCAAAAGAACCGGGAAATGTCATGCTATATATAGGATATTATTATTAACTGAGTTGTGCATGAAAGGAAAAAATATACTCCTTATCTCTCATATCACAGATGAAGAAAATATTCCAAGTGCATAAGATGCAATCTTCAGATTTCTGACGCTTGTTCAACTAAATATTTAATAATAATAATTTATTAAACTTGTATTTCCCAGGAAAACCATTGCTTGTTCCAGTGAGATTTCCTAAACAATAAATTTAAATATTGCAAAAGTTAAGAGAAGTATGTACATGTGAATTATTTATTCAGACCTTTATTTAATATTTTACTATATATAATTTAACTGAATTTGAAACATTGCTGCTTAAAATTTTAAAATTGCATACGCTTTTGGTAGCTGTTGAGTTAAAGTGTGGAAGATGCATTATTTTCCCTGTATGTGGTAGTATGTTAAGTTCATGAGAATCATCTTAAGTTTCTTTGTTTCATCCTTATACGAGTTATGGTGCTATGTTTAGTTAATTCTGGGCCCAGTCAGAGGATAATTTTTTAGAAAATTTTGAAAACAACAGCTCAAATCAGTTTCCTTTCTGGCTAAGTGGGGGGAGGCATGGTCTTCCTGTAACACAATGCTTATGTAAACAGCAGGAAAGCATGAAATTCTGACAACAGCAGTGGTGTGGCCTAAAAACTGCAGATAGCAATGACGCATTATAATAACGTATTAGAAAGAAGCATCCCAGAAATTGTTGAATATTTTTTGTCTTGGAAATAAAAACATTTTTCAACTTGATTCCAATTTAGGCCTTTGTTTCTACACATTGAATAAATATTGAACCAGAAAAAAATTAACTGGAATTTTAAGTTCCATGAAAAGCAATGGCTTTATAGGTACAGCTCAAAAATATGAGTAACAAAACACAGGGGCTGTTGCAAAGCTGGTAATCCTA